ATTCGGACGAGCGCCAGCAGCTCCGGCCTCGAGATCGGCTCGTCGGACTTCAAGATGGACAAGATCTTCTCCCCTTGTTTCTTCCGCCCTCTGCTTCGTTTTATTCTGGCTTCTTATCGCTTCCCACACTTGTATGCTCCTCTCCCGCTTGTAGCTCCTGCAGCGTCTGGCGGCTCGCCCTTGTAGGCGGCCCCAAGTTGACATGGGTCTTTCCAGGCCTGAACGACTCTAAACTCGGAATTTATCCTATCCTATCCTATCCCTCCCCGCCGACCCACTCCTCTACCTTCTCTCGCACCTCCACCTCGTCCGCATCGACCGGCACCCAGTGCATCACCAACGACGTCGCCTCGACCGGCATCTTCACCGTGATCTCAGCTGAGTAGGCGGAGAGGGCGCGGCGGAGGAGGTCGGCAGCCGAGGGTCCGCGAGTGACGAGTTGTACGTCGCCTCTCTCCATGCGACGGGCGTAGACGAGGGTCGAGGGGTCGAGGGACGAGCTGACCATCATCTTGCGCACGCAGGGGAGGATACGGTGCTCGGGGAGGGCGCGGAGGAAGTGTGTCGCGGGGAGGTCCGCGGTACCGGCAATGAGGGAGGTGCGGGGCGCGGGTTTCGAGGGAGCGGAAGCGCGGGGCGCTGCTGGCGGTTCGGGAGGCGCATTTGGGCGAGCTGCGGCTGCTGCAGCGGCGTAGGAACGCACTGCAGGCGCCGGCGGAGGGGGAGGGTCCGTGGCGTCTCGCTGGAGGATTGCAAAGCGGTTGCTCAATTCCCAGGTGTTCATGCGCGTGTGGAGAGAGTTTACAACATCTGTAAGCTTCTGTACGCTGGTGGAGAGCGCTGCGAGAGGTCCACTGACCGCCACCCCTTCCGGGGGTGGGGAGTCAAGTGGGTCACACGGCTTGTCGAGGGCGTTTGGCGGGTTGTCGAGCGGCGTGCTGGCAGCCGTGTGACTCAACTTGCCCCCCATACTGTTGCTGCCCCCCTCAACCACCTGCGGATGCGAGTCTGGCAAGGAGGGTGGGACCGGGGAGGTGGGGGTCGCGCTGGATCTCAGCGACGAGGGCGTCTGGCGCGTCGCGGCTGCGGGTACGGCGGGCTGGAAGGGCTTGGACGGCGTCGCTTTGCCGGCGTCGCGCTTGAGCTTGAGGAAAGTGAGTACTCGCTCAATGTCGCCTCGGGCCCGAGAGTTCATCTCCGGCCCTATCGTACCCTCCAGCAACGCCTTGCGGGCGCGCTGGAGGTGGCTGATAGCCTCAGATGTACAGCTGGAGGGCTGTAGCATGCAGCAGGAGTCTCAGCGAGCGACGCGAGGACGGAGGACTCGTCAACCAGCATCCTCGATGACTGGTTCGCTCCACTCGTGCTTGCCGTCGTGCCGAGGTACCCCGAAATCATCGTCGTGTACGGCCCGTTCGAGCGAGGCGGCGTTCGAGGCGGAGCCGGGTTGGTGGGGTCGGGTGAGGGGAGGGGAGCGGTGGCATTCTGCGCTGGGGTGGACGTGCAGGTATTGGGTTTGAGCGGTGCGTGGGCCTTGTCCAACTGTGTCCGCCCGCCTCGACAACCACCTAGTTGCCGCTACCCTCCCCTCTCCGCCAATCCACTCTTCCATCTTCTCCTCCACCTCGCCTGCGTCCGCATCCGCGGGCACCCAGTGCAAGACCAACAATGTCGCTTCCACCGGCATCTTTGTCACGATCTCGGCGGAGTGTGCGGCAACCGCGCGGCGGAGGAGGTTGGCGGCGGAGGGGCCGCGGGTGACCAGTTGTACGTCCCCTCTCTCCATGCGCCGGGCGTAGACGAGGGTCGTGGGGTCGAGGGACGAGCTGACGATCATCTTGCGCACGCAGGGGAGGATGCGGTGCTCGGAGAGGGCGCGGACAAAGTGCGTTGCGGGGAGGTCGGCGGTGCCGGCAATAAGGGAGGTGCGGGGTGCGGGTTTCGTGGGTGCGGCGGCACGGGGTGCTGCTGAGGAGGCAGTGTGCGCTGCTGGGCTGGCCAGGGAGGCAGCCGCTGCGTAGGATCGTGCCGCCGGAATGGGCGGGGGCAGAGGGTCGGTAGCGTCTTGCTGGAGGCTTGCAAAGCGGTTGCCGGTCTCCCAAGTGTCCATGCGGGTGTGGAGAGAGTTTACAATGTCTGTAAGCTTCTGTACGCTGGTGGAGAGCGCTGCGAGAGGTCCACTGACCGCCACCCCTTCCGGGGGTGGGGAGTCAAGTGGGTCACACAGCTTGTTGAGGGCGTTTGGCGGGTTGGCGAGCGGCGTACTGGCAGCCGTGTGACTCAGCTTGCCCCCCATACTGTTGCTTCCCCCCTCAGCCACCTGCGGGCGCGAGTCTGGCGAGGAGGGTGGGACCGCGGAGGTGGGGGTGACGCTGGATCTCAGCGACGAGGGCTTCTGGCGGGTCGTAACTGCGGGTATGGCAAGCTGGACGGGCTTGGATGGCGTCGCTTTGCCGGCGTCGTGCTTGAGCTCGAGGAAGGCGAGTAGTCGCTCAATCTTGCCTCGGGCCCAAGAGTTCATCTCCGGGCCTATCGTACCCTCCAGCAACGCTTGGCGGGCGCGCTGGAGGTGGCTGATAGCCTCAGAAGTACAGCTAGAGGGCTGTACCATGCAGCAGGAGTCTCAGCAGCGATCAGCAGCTGTGGAGGAGCGCCATCGCGCCGTCGATGACAAATGCGTACAAGGGGACCTACCGAACATAGCTGGCCTTCATCGCTGCGCACCAATTCCCTTTCTTTCCGACTCCCGACTCTCTCTCGCTCTTCATCGCGGCTCGCTCGTCATGAGTCGTCCCTACCACCCTCATCGGCGAGCTCTCCGGCCTCGCCTTCTACTTCAGCGCTATCAACACGGACCAGTGAGCCAAAGTTTGCAACTCGCCGGGCGTCTTGCGCGCACTGGGCGGGAACGTGAGGCGCAACCCGCACGCACCGAAGAAGGTGCTCCCCATTCCGGAGGCAGCCATTGCTCGCGGCGTCGAGGCGGCTCTCGACACCCCTTCGTACAACTCAGTCATGTGGGCAGCCATGGCAATTGTCTGCTTCCTCATCGCAGGAGATTACGGACTACGATGCACCGGAGTATCGCGACGCGCGGAAGCGCATCCGGTGCGAGGCCTTGCGCCTCACAGAGCGCGGGTTCTCAATCGACCTCGTGTATCACAAGGGCGACCTGCTCTTCACTGGGACAAAGATGTGGTTTGCAGCCTCGGATGCAGGCGACTGGTTCAAGATTGTGCGGCTATACCTCAAGGGGCGAGACGCACGGTTCGGCACGACGGGTCCGCTGTGGCTCAACGAGGACGGCCAGACGCCGACACCTCGGGCGTTTGTGGACGAGGTGAAGCGGCACTGCGGCAGCGAGTACACCGGGCACAGCTTTCGAGCTGGAGGAGCAACATGGTACGCGCTGCATGGCGCGCCGGACTCGTCCATCCAGCGCATCAGACGATGGACGCCGTCCGCCTTCCAAGGATACGTCCAACTCCAGCCGGAGATTGCAATTGCGCAACGCAAGCAACGAGCGCGACGCATGCCTCCGCCCTCCCCTCCCGCCACCCACCCTTCCCATCTCTCTCATCCGTGCATTGACGCAGTTCTCGCGCTGTGATCATATCTGCCGGTCAGTCTTCTCTACCACTAGCCGTTCTACAGCGCTTCGGCCTGTGAATGCACGCTCTCGTCTCACATCGAGCGCTTCTACACCTCTGTGACTGCTTTGAGTTGCTCTGCGCCTCAGCAAATGCAATTGACGAGTCTTCTGCTACACACAGTGACAAGACAAGATGCTTAGCAAAGCGAGGAGGCCGGTCGACCTGCCAACTCGCCAAGTCCAGCCATCTCAGCCAGCGACCGCGCCTCGTCTCCTGCTTGCCGGGCGACAATGCTGGTTTCCCTGCTACGATCAGTGCTCTGTGGACGGCCCACAAACGGGCGACTACCACGCGGTGGAACGAGGAATGGTCATCGTCTTCGCTTCCTCGCCCCCTCGCCGACGTCGTCACGACGGCCTCAACGGCGCACAAGTACTATGCAGGCCTATCACGTCGCCAAGCAACCCTCCTCTGCCGACTACGCACTGACGTGTCAGCGCTCAACAAGCACCGTGCCCTCTTCGACCCAGTCCAATCCAACCTCTGCAAGTGCGGCAAGGTGGAGAGTCAGGAACACTTCCTGATTCTCTGCCCGCTGTACAAGCAGGCTCGACACTCTTTCTACAAACACATCGGCCTCCGACAAACCCCCACAGGTGCCCTCATCCTCGGCAACATCGACTTCCAATCGCCTCTCCTCGACTTCATCGCCGCTACAGGAGGCTTCGCCCGCCTGACGGAGGCGACCAAGGGTGAGTCGCAAGAAGAGGACAAGACGGAAAGGAAGGAGCAACACAGAGCGTAGGAGGAGACCGCCTGGCGCCACCACCTCCCCGAACCGCCCTACCCCGAACCCTCCTCTCTCTCTCTCTCTCTCAACTCACCCTCGACCCGGCCCACCCCGAGCTCGACGAGTCCCCTATATCACTCTGCACCACACGACCCACCAAAACCGCGTCCCCTCTGCCATCGCCGTCGTCGACGCCGTCCAAGAAGGTCAGGATCAAGTTTGGCATTCTCTCAATGGTTTCTCAACATTCCGGCTTCGTTTTTCTCTCCCCTATCTCCACACACCTTCCTCTACCACTTCACCACGCCGCGTCTACCCACCCTCATTCCTTCTCATTTTATCGCACTCTCTCGCTCTTACAGGTACTTTTCCACTCCATTGCGCTCATCCACTATTTCTTCGCCTCTTATGACCTCCACACATAAGTAGATACCCCTGCTCACCCGTTCTGTGCTGTGGCAGCCAGTCCCTGCTAGTGGCCATGGGCTTAGACTTGATCTGACTTGAAACAAGAATCTCTCTCTATGCGCTGTGGCAGTCAGTCCCTGCCGGACTACATGGGTTTAGTCCCGATATGACTTGAAAAATGAATTTCTCTCTCTCTACTGAACCGACCCGAGCCCCCTGGTTCAGCCGATATCTCCAACTCCGATCCTGCCAGCATTTGAAGAGCTCAGACACCCCCTGGTGAGCACCCCCCCC